TGTAACATCCAGAACAAACCCAGAAGCCATAAAATAGGTCCCTGAGCAGTGGCAACAAGAAAGCAAAAGAAAACCAAACCAAACCAAAAAAAATCACTGCTATTACAAAAGAATAGGTCCTTGAAGTCTCCTCAGCCCATGGACTTTATCACCACAAAATCTCCATTAGCAAGCTAACCCTAAATAGATTCATTACTCTAAGCGAGAACGTTGTGTTTGTCATACAGAGAACTTCAAGCCTACTCACTTTCCAAATAGATGGCAACGTCTATTCTCCACAACTTAGAAAGGTCCAGGCCTCAATGACATTAATGTCTTACTTACATCATTGAAGAATTTATAAAATAGGTGCATAGTAACTCTTCTGTGAAAGTAATTTGCAGCTTTTATCAGTGCAAGAGGACAGATGATATTCAGGCACAGCGGCCTTAGACCACTTCCTATAAGAAAAGATTGTCTTACACATCTGACTAACCTGAGAGAATTTCCCTGAGAGAAAGTCCCCAATTAAGTCACCTGAAAAAAGAAAGACTAATGTGTGCGTAAGAAACAGACTCAATATAGTATATTTAAAAGATATTTTAATCAAAAATACTTTTTCAAGGGGAGGGCATGTTTATTATTCACTGAATGGGCATCACACACTTTCCAATGGGGCTCAACAGATGAAAGGTCAATTTGGGTATCCATTTAATTTTTAATAACACTAGGTTCTGAACTGTTTGCCATTTTATTTTTCTGACAATGCAAGAGGGGAACGTACTTTATGACTTACTTAGAAGTACAGAAAAGAACCATGGACAAACTGATCTTTCATTAAAATTGTTAATAGAAAATAAAAGATTTAATGAAGCATTTCAATCGTTTCCAGCTACAACACAAAAATATCTCAATTTTCAACTTCAAGAAGGAAGCTTTTGATTGGTGAAGAGTAATATCCATCTGAAATGAAAGTGGCCTACCATTTTGTGATACTTTGGTGACTAATATGCACCATGTTAATGTGTGGCTTACTGGATCATCAAGATTTGCCCTACACATTAAAAGCTATACTTCATTTGTAAAAGGATATAATTGTAGTCAAATCTTTTGAAAGTGAATAAACGTTTCTCTCTTCTGTAGTCCTTTTTTGGCAGAAGATTAAAAAATATTTGACCCATGGCTGCTCTTAGGCCCAGTGATTTTTGAATCTAATGAAGTGTTTGAAAGGTTCAACTGTTTATTTTAAATAACATTCACCATTTTTCTTAATTAAGGTTTAATATAGGTGATATGCAGAAAGTTTGGAAAGCACATAAAATCACAAAGGAAAAATAATCCTCAGATCGCTCATTTCCCTCATTATTTCTTGGCTCCAGCACTAAATAATTTCAGAGTATTGTCCTTTGATAATTGTTTTGTCTGGGCTCTATCTTCTTGTATTTTTCACTAACCATTCCTTGGTTCTTTTATGTTGTGATTGCTTATAATAATCTTTCTTGTTTTATCCTTACAGTGAGATCTTAGGATGACTATGTATCACCTTTCTATTCATTTAGTTATTCAACCTAATATTTATTAACACCTACTATTTGTGAAACACTGCATGAGAATATGAGCCAATAGGCAAAGCTTGTATCCTCATGGAACTTACTAACCAGGGATAAAGTGCTTGAATTTTGGGTGTCAACCTACGCTTAATTCACTTTCCTATCTATACAGCCCCATGTGGGATCTGTTTCCTTCTGAATGCACAATACATATTGGATGGACACTTATATGAGAGAAATACATAACTATTATTGAACAAGTAGTTACTTGTCTCTTACCTATATTGCCAAATTCCTGATGGTAGTGATTGGATAAGTAGGATTTTGGTTGCCTGCTTGTGAAGTTCTGTATTAAGATGTAACATTTGTATCATGCTTATGAGTTGGCAAACAGTTATTCCATTATCTCAAAGGGTTCCAGTGAAGCCCAAGTAAAGCAATAAATATACTTTATTAAAAAAGAAGTAAGGTGATGGTGTCATTTACATGGAACTCTTATAGTATTGAGTATTCATTAAGAGATAAAACGTTTAGTAACCTCAGTCATCGAAAACGTGGTTCTGCTATTAGAAAAAAAAATGACATTTAACTTCCAGATATCTGTTACATATTCTTAATGCACAAATAATTATTTAGCTTTGAGAAAGCATAAGAAAAATATAAAATTCAGCATAAAATAAGTTCACAGATGAGTTAAATCCAGTCCCTGGTTCAAAAAGCTTTTGATATGATACATACAAAAATAATTTTACACACACCACACAAGGTATCTGGAGGTTCCCCCAGTCTTCCCGTGGCTAATTCAGTGTATCCTTCACTTTTCAAATTGAACATGACTTTCTTAGATGGAAGTTCCCTCAACTTTTACATCAGATTCTTCTTTACACTTTTTCATGGCACTCTGCATTTTTCCTGTACAACACTCATTATATTTATAATTCCATTATATTTAGAAATATTTAGTATCTGTCTCCTCACTAGACAATAAAAATAAAAAAGGCTCAACATGCCAGCAAAGTGTGTGGCACAGAGTATGAGCTCAATATGTAGTTATTGCATGCAATAACTCTAATATATAAAAGATGATGGCAGAAAAAGGAGAGAGAAAAACAAAATGTGGTGGGAATTTAATGGAAATGGAAAGCACATTTAATGTGGGAACTTAAAAAGTTTCTATATAAAATTTTAAATGGATCTTAGAAGATGTATATGAATGCTGAGTATGAAGCTTCATAGACCCACCTAGAGGGGATGATATAGAAAAGATGGTGGAAGCATGAAAGATCAGGGCCAACATATCCATTAGACACAGTAGACACTGTGCCCAAAACCCATGAGACCTTAAGGGGCCCACAAAATGTTTTAAATTTCAATATTTTAATCAGAAGAAAAAATGAATTATAATAATGAATGCAATGTATGCCAATGTAAGCATAAACTTTAAATTTTAATATTATTTTTATGGAGGAAGGGGCCCAAAAAGGCAGAAGTGCCCAGCGCCCATTAAAGTCATAATGCAGGACCTACCCGGTGGCACAGCGGTTAAGTGCGCACTTGCCACTTCGGCGGCCCAGGGTTCGCTGGTTCGGATCCCGGGTACGGAGATGGCACTGCTTGGCACGCCATGTGGTGGTAGGCATCCCACTTATAAAGTAGAGGAAGATGGGCACCGAGGTTAGCTCAGGGCCAGTCTTCTTCAGCGAAAAGAGGAGGATTGGCAGCAGTTATCTCAGGGCTAATATTCCTCAAATAAAAAAGAAAAGTCATAATGCAGCCCTGGGGATATTTGTTATATAGTAGATAGGATTTCAGCTAGAACCTGGAAAAGGAATAGAGGATCTAACATTGAAAATACAGGTTGGCCTTAGGTCAAGAGGAGCCCAAATGACAAGCTGGGGAGGTTCTTCAAACTTCAGTTTACCTGCAGAGACTTTTGTGTCAACTTTCTGCTTACATTGGGGCTTTAGGAAGAGAATTCTTGCAGGAAGGGATAGGATGGATTGGTCTTAGAAGGGGGCAATCAATCAAGGGCCTTTTGCATTAGTTTATATGAGGGTTAAAGAGGAGACTACAGTAGGTAGAGAGAGAAGGGATGGATATTACAAACATTCAGGTATATATTTACCGATGTGTTTTAGATCATATGCAGAAAAACTCCTTTTTCCCATAGAAAATTCCCAAAGTCATAGTTTACATTTGCATTCCCTCTGATTGTAAGTTCCATGAGAGGAGAGACTATGTCAACCTCACTGCTGTAACCTCAGGGCATTAAACATGGAGACACTCAAGAAATCAAGAGAGTAGACTCTTGCAGAAGTGTTAAAACTGTTATAACTAGAACTAGATCCTGACCAGGCTGTCATAATCATCAAGCAAATGCTCAAAGCCTGACTATGTGAAGATGCCTCCCAACTGATTGATGGTTCGATTATTCTGCAGAGCAAAACGGAAGTAACAGCACACATTAATTATAACTTATTTTAAAATTAATTTTAAATAATTCTTAATTGTTTTCTAGATTGGGAAATTGTGCCTATGGTCTGTAACTAAATATATATTCATAATGATAGCTCGTATGTTTATATGCAGCATTAACCATGTTTGTTGAGAACATGGAAAAGGAAAGAAACATAAAAAGAAGTACAAAGGTTATGAATTCCCTGATGTTGAAGAGAGAGGAAATATTCACTGTGTAATATCGATAGCTAAATTAGCTGCCTATCTGTGTTTGAGAGATTGTGGTCGGAGACAGAGAAATGACTAAGTGAATCTTCCAGGAGCTTCCAAACTCTGGTTTGATTTGATAACTTGAGAAGTATAATGAATGATAATGTTGTTAAATCACTGAGATTATATTTAATACTCTATAAAGAAACTTAAAATTTTTATGGTATTGGGATTATTCCATACAATTTAGGAAAAATTCGTTGTTCCATACCATTATATGAAGTCTGAAAGATATCAAAATATAGCCATTTAGTTGGTAATTTTTAGGCTCCCATAAATTTCGTTACTAATATTATTGAAATAAATTCAAGATAGAATTTTCAGAATTGAGCCTCATTGGCAGTTTGAAAGCAGTTGAATTGTTCTCCCACTTTGTGTTGTAACGGTTCTGGGGCTGTATTCAAAACATTGGTATCAAGATAGAAAATGAGTCTAAGTCGATGTTCCTCTTGAGGTTAAAGGTCTGTTTCTTTCAGTCAGTTCAAACTGACAGGCCTCCTGCCATCACCTCCTCCTTAGCCAGGCAGACAGGCCCTGGCAGTCAGTGTGAAAACATCTGTTGAATGGATTTATTGACTGGATCTTGTTTTTTCTCTCCTTTGCTGTATTTTTTTTTTCTTTTTCCTTCACACCGTTTATTATGTCTCTGACCTGATGAACTTAATTTGTTGACATGTCGCTCTCAGTGTCTCCCTCAATGCTTGTCTCATGTTTCTTTCTACTGTGCTCTTTTCTTGGCAACAGCCCTTCCTGGAGCCCCAGCACACATGTGCGCTTTCGGTGCACCAAGCTCAGTTGGCTGTGGTTGGTATGGATGGATTAGAGAAACATCATCTTGTCTCCAAGACTCATTCCTCTCCTGCTGCCTCCGTTTTACCTCACCCAGCAATGGACTGCCCCCTTCAGCCTGGCTCTGCAACTGGTAGGAATCCCTAAAGACTCTCCCTAATAGGCGGACTAAATGCACCGTTCTTGTAGGATTAAGTGATTTAAATGCTCTGAATAGCTCCAATAGCTGAACGCTCTATTTTAACCCAAGGCAGCCCAAATTTTATGAGATTATATTGGTCACAAGACAAACAGCACATCTGATAAATCTTGGGTTTAGTATTAATAGCCTCATAAATTGTTATCATTCACGGGCCTGGAAAACACATCAACAGGTGCATGGGTCCCTTTTGGAAACAAAAATCTCTACAACATTCTTTAGCAGTATTCCTCGATCTCCTTTTTCTAGTAGTCCTGGTCACTAGGAAATTTTTGATGCTTGACTTCATTTAACTCTAAAGAGTGTCTCTCCCTGTTTGTTTTTCTTGTTGTTTTGTTTGTTTCACTGTTTTCTTCTGACTTCCCGTACAAATGACTCATGGGAGACAATGGTGCCAAGGCAACCCTTGCTTAATTCTACATACGTTAGTTCTGTTTCCATTTGTTATGGCGCCTCTGGGTGGGCTATTTGACCAACCTCTTCCTTTGCCTACAGCTGTGTTTGATATTTCAGAGCTTGGCTCCAGAGGAAAACAAACCAGATAATTCCAAGGCCAGAAGAAGGTCAAGTCTGGAACACACACACAAAAAGAGGTGCTATTCCCTTTACAAAGGAACTGTGCCATAAATACCCACGTGCCATAAATACCCATGTGGATAAATGTTCCCTTCTGTCTGCTGGACCCCTTTCTTTTCCCCTGCTCTCAATCTGTGGTTGACCAAATGAAAGATATTATACTCCTAAGGGACTCATACTTGGGTGTAGCAAGGAGAGAATTCATATGTACCTTCCTCCAAAGGCTCTCACAGGTTATCTGATTTATTTTTGAATCAATTTTCAGGATTCAGAGTTTGTTTTTGTGGCTTCTCTGACCTCATGCAACCCTTTGTGCTTGGAAAAGTTAAAATACTTTTTCTGAAATCACATTCCTAAGCCTTGATATCATCTTTTATTTAAAAATCAATGGGTGAAATGGCCAAGTCATTTAACTGTGACAGATAACTTTAATAAGCATGCATAGGAGCTACTTTTCATAATATGTTATACTACAAGCCAACATTTCATACTAGGAGCTACAACTGGGTATATTTGGATATATTTCTTTCACCACATTAGTCACTGCCTCTGATGCCTCTCTTTCTTGGAGCATAGCAGACATGACCCCATATCCCAGATGACCCAAGACTGCAGCCCAGTGTCAGCGGAAGCCTCTTGGATCGGTCATGCCTAGTTCTATCCCTGGTCTTTAGGGCTTTTGCTCAAAGCCAGATACATGGTGTAGAGGAACACTTTTTGTAAGTAGTCATAGCAGTAGACTTACAATCCTTAAAGAATTACAATTCTTAAATCTCAATTCTTTTTCCTGAAAGTTTTTTTTTGTTTGGCCACAGCTTTCAGAGAACAAGGAGTAGCAACCATCTTATCATTATGCCAATTCCATTCACTCAAAATCATGTCCTTAATTTAAAAGTGAGCTCAATTATAAAGTTTGATGGTGCTATTCCTATGTGTGCTGCTGTCTATTGTAATCCTCTTGGTTAAGAGGAGTGGCCCTTTCCTGACATGATTTGGTTTCCTCTAGTTTTATATGCTAATTCAATATAAATGAGGCACAATCTCTGAGTATTAGAAATATCCTACAACTTTGAGAAAACAGTATTGCCAAATGAAAAGGGTTTGTAGGCTTTAGCAGAATCCAGGTGAAAGGGTGGCCTGCAAACCTAATAACATAAGCATGACTTAAACATAACCTAGTCATTCAAATTAAAGACTGGGTCATTTCAGACAACTATAATGTCAGCATTCTAGTATTTTTCAGAGTTTATATTGTAAACACAATTAGGAGAGATTATATAAACCTGTATTTTGAAAAACATAGGATTTTGTTCTTAATAGGCATTCAATAAATTTTAGTTGAATCACAAATATTAATTTGTGTAATATGTATGTACATATAATCATAAACATTTATGAATTTGCTAGTTCAAATTTGAAAACACTGGAAGTGCAGGTTACTTCGGAATTAGTGTTCTGGTTAAAGAATGACTAAGTGATTTGAAGGTTATATATTTCTGTAGAGAAAAACCTTCTTATTGTCTTATTTGACCCTAAAAATGTTGCATCCTAACACTTAAATTCTTAAAATTAAAAGGCTCAATAAAGTTTTAGAAAAATCGTGCAAAATGTAATTTATGTATCTGCTAATTGCCCCTCTGCTGTCATTGGGATTAAAAATATGTTTTGGCTGGTGGCTTTCATTTAGTGCTTTTCCGAATCCAAGGAAAGTGACATGCACCTTCTTCACGTTGCTCCTCCACATATTGTTCTGGCTTTAATCCAAACTTAAATTTCCCCTGTAGCCTGCATACTCTTCTAATCCACTTGATCTCCAAATTCATTTTAGTATTTCTAATGGTCTTGATTTTAGAGGTGAACTCTGAAGGCTTTCATTTGTACTATGTTTGAAAACAATTATTTTTAAATATTACACTCCTTTCTTTTGACTTTTTAACATCTATTCGTTGTAGATACATTTAAAAAATTAAAAGTGAGATTCAAATATTTTCTTTGGGAATATTTAAGTGTTTTCAAAAGAAAGTCATGCAATCTCACACACACAATAGTTTGTTCCACTAAAAAGTAAGGAAGAGAGACCAAATACAATGTTAATGTAGACGATTTGCTTAAATCCATTCTGTAAGAGCTACACTTTTTGGCACAACTAAAAAGTTATTTAATACTAAACTTACGTAATTTTCAAGGCACACCACTCAAATCTTTACCCTCCATGTGGATCCTCAGCAGCCAACTGGAGTAGCCACACCACCCACTTTTTGTACAGAATAAAACAATGTTCCAAGAGGAGAATGTTGTCTACGTTTAGACAGTTGTTGAAAGATGAAGTCTCGAGTCCACTTCCCGTGAGGACTTAAATGGATGAAGAAACAGAGACTAAGAAGGAGCCACCACCTGCTGGCCCTATGGAGAGCCTGGATGAAGCTATTTCTAGGATGGACAAGAAGAGCATATGATTGTGCACCTGCTGTAGTAATAATGAAGAATATGTGTTGTAAAGCAGGTTGCCACATATTCAAATGGATTTTATATTATATTGGAATATGAGTAATAATATTCAATTTTTACAATAATATTCCATTTAAGAGGTGCTTTTCTCATCCTATTTAAAGCCAAAGTATGGTGTTTATATGAGTTCTGATGACTAAAGAAAGGGCAATGTATTTTATTTTCTGTGCCATAGTCATCTCTTCTACTCAGCCATTCCTAAGAGAGGTGAGGATTGGCCATGGCTCACAACAGGACATTGACAGTAGATGATATAATTGTTCTAGTTTATACCAAAAGGGATTTATTGAAATAAGAATTTAATGGCAAATAAGTTTGGTTGATTTTATCTTCCCTATCACCCAGTAGGGTCTTCTTTCTCCCAACACTATGTTAGTTTACATAATCTTTGAGTAAATTCTTTTTTTGTAACTTTATCTTTTTAGTCAGAGACTAATGTAAAATAGAATCATCATGCTCAAACTAAACCAACATTTGTGAGAGCCATTAAAAATAACTTGGTAACAAGAGTTTGTAAATTGATGTTTAGTAGGTGGAACATTATGATGGAAAGTGAAATACATTTGAATGTTTCAGTATGAGAAGAGCAACACTGGCCTTTTTTTCTGTTTTTTAATGAAAGATATTTTCCCAAGTCAAACTAACTCAAGTAAATCCTTGAAGTTTTAGTTTATATTATATTTTCCTTCAGGAAACCTTGCTTGGCCAGCTAAATCCAAATAAAATCTATTATGGTCTCGCCTAACAAACTGTATTTTTCCCTCAAAAATTGTAATTATTTACTTATTTTGGGGATTGTGTTTCAATGTACTCTCCATGAGTAAGAAACTATGTTTTTCTGTTTCCTCTAACTCTAGCACTTAGGTTCATGGCTGGCACATTGAAGGTTCTCAGTATATATGTTTACTGTATAATAAATAAATGAATTAACAAACAAATGAACAAATAAATGAAATAAGAGTAAAAAGACATGAATTCCATAAAATTATACCAAAAAAGGTCATTCGTATGTTAAGTGAAATTTGGGGGTAAAATTTATATTTTTATTAATTACAAAAAAATGATACTTGTTCATTGAAGGCAATTTGGTAAATCTAAACAACTGTACAGGAGAATCACTCATGATTCTATCACTTAGAGGTAACTATAAATAAATATATATTTATTTGTTTTCAGTATTTCTTTCCTCTTCCTATGTGCCTCTCTTTAACAGAGTACAGAAAAGCATTATGCGTGTCTGTGTTCATGTGTGTGTCTATCTATAAGTGTATGTATGTGTGTAATTGTTTATGTGTGTACGTATATGTGTGTATGTGTGTGTTTTAAGACCTCCCAGAGTAAGTTTTGTCACTACCTTGTATCAGAATGGAGAGATTAATTTCCTTTGGGTAGATAATCAATTTTGAAATTACTGTTCTCAGATATATCTGCTTGAAATTTCTCCTGAAAAACTCATCCAAAATTTTCTCATCGAATTCTCACTGAAGATGATAAAAATAGCTATCTTATTTATTTAGGAGATTAACTGAACTTGATCACATATATCATATTTATTAACATATAACATATAGCATATATATTTATAAGTATTTATTAGTTATACATATATATGTATATGTATATGTGTATATGTATATGTGTATATATGTATATGTGTAAAATATATATATATTTTTTTTAATTTTTAAGTACTTTTGGCTTTCCTATGGCTAAGAATGTCATCCTATTACCTTCATACATACTTGGACACAGATGACTTAATGCACACATTTTTTGTCGGAAAAGTCTGGAAATATAGTCAAATGCTCAAGCATTGGCATTGAAGAGGAGAAGGCTGAGTTTAGCATTAA